CACCGGGGTGTGTTATCTTGTGTCACTTACGGTAAACACCCCCGCAAACGCAATGCCGCACCTGGGGGTAATACGTTTGCGGGTCCACGTGAATCCAAACAAACAACACCACATGAGATGGCACAAGGTACGCACACCCCGCACAACACCCCCTGTGATACTTTCTTGAGAAGTAGCGCAAAAGGCAGAGATCACCGGGCAGGGGTGTGTCTTCCTCGTCGAATGCACGGCTCTCACCTCCAGCTGCTGCCGCCGTTCTGCCTCGTGGGTGGCGTTGAAGGCGGTGAGTCCGGGCATGGTCAACAGCGAACCTCCACCCGCACCATTTGACGCTGTTCTCCGAACCGTCTGCCCCATCCAATATACACCAAACAGAACACGATGAATACATGTTACGAAACGGCTTGTTAGTGACGATAGCAAACGCCAAGACAACACTGCCTGGAGCTGTGGCACTGCAAGACGGTTGGTGTTCTGGTGTTCACATCAAGACCTCGACTCCATGCTTCAGGTATGCGTCTTGATCCCGGAATCATCAGAACGTTCAGAAAAACATCGAAAAGTTTCGCAGCGAAAACGCTAACGTCACAGACCAACGCACGATCAACAGAGAATCGTTATGGAATAAAGTCTTCTCTAGCCTGATGCTGGTCGTCGCCGTGACAGCTCTACTGCAGGTATCACGGGCACCGCAGTTCAACTCGATGGTAGAGTGCCCACACCAGCAGACACAACAACAACAATGGTGAAGAACAGTGTGAGAGGCCACCTGTAATCTGTTGGCGACGTCGTAAAACCGCTGCTGCAACTCCTGCGCCGGTCTGTCTGGGGTGCACTTGTAACGGTCCTTGATCGCCGGCCAGCGGAGGTCGTACTTTAGGGCCATCGCCACCAGATGGTCCGTCTCCAGCTTTGTCCATGAGGCTTCCTGAAAATGGAGATGCGTCGAAAACGCAACACGAAGATACGTTAGAACAAACTTTTCTAGCCGCTAGACTCGACGTCGTGCCAAAAACACGCCGATTTGTTCGAAGCACTCTTTCACCCGCTAAGATCGACGTCGTGCCACAAACACGCCGATGTGCTCGAAAAAATGTTGAAGCCGCCAAGATCAAAGTGGTGCCCATTAGCTGTTGGAACTATTCGAGCCTTCGGTTGGCGTAACGTGTGAAGCCGGTCGCCCCGACGGGAAAGTTGGGGGACTCGGAACCGTGTGACGGTCGGACGTCAGTTTGAATCACGGCCCAGTCACACTGTCATATTTCAAAAGGTACGCCCACGCAAGGCAAAACCGACAAATGCGGCGCATGCAAAATGCTTGACCTCAAGGTGAAGTAGGGAAAGGTGCTGCTACAAAATTTCCTCGATAACTGTTTGAAACCAGCACCACTGCAGGGAGATGAAGAAGAGCAAGAAAACAAACACTCCCCGTGAGCCCGGGTGGTTCGTCCATACACACCGAATGGCGAAAACACCAGTGTCCAGAACAGATGGGCACAGACCGCGGCACCACCTTAGAACCTAGTGCGATGGCCGTGGGGCCGTGGTCCATTCCTTGATTCTCTGGGGGTCTACATCCCAACACCAAGCATGAACAGGTGATAGTACAGCATTCTTAACCGAGGACCTGTCCTTCTGATCAAGTTGTAAAATATATTTCTTAAAGCCTGGACTCCTTCCCTCCGAGGTTGTTCGGGTGTTCGCCCACATTTCGTCAACAGTAATGAACAATGATCATCATTGCTCAATATTGATGTGGGGTTAGCTTTCACGTGTCATCAACATGAGTCATCTAATGTGATGGCCATTTCTCGAGCGTCGGCGCGCACCGTATACAGGCCGACGAAGCCTTCGACAAAGTCAAACATCCACTTTCGCCAGCTCACCGTGAGGTGTTGCTTGTACTCCTCGTCGGAGTACCTCAGGTGGTTGTCGATGTCTACCTTGACGTTGTATCTGCATCATAATAGAACAACAAAACAGCAGAACATTAGCGAAACAAGCGGTATAAAGGCAAAACCCGGTGCTCCAATCCCATATTACTTGCACAAGATATGGCGCAACAGCATCGTGTCAAACATGCGAGGCCCACCCTTCATTTCCAAATCAAACGTCCATATATTGCAGAACGATAGATCGCGCTAGATGCCGCTCTCCCTTTGGTCGGAAGTTTATAAAGTTACCGTAAATCGCGTTAGACAGCACTCTCCCCTTTGGTCGGGTTTCAAAGCTGCATCATTTCACGACGAAGAAGACGCCACAATCAAACGGTTACATTGGCGGAATGCTCTCCACGTGGCCGTTTCAATGCCGCCATTTTCGGCACCGTTACTACTGTTGATGCTGCAGAGTTATCGAGCTTTGATTCTCAGTCCATGGAGCGTAGTATCTTTCATCATGCGACCAACAACACGATATACCAGGGAAAGCACACCAGAACATGTACAGTCGGCGCTTCCCTCGCCGTGCTACCGCATCACTCGGAACATGCCACCCCCCTACAAAACATCTATTGAACCCGGTGTGGATAAATGTTTTCGAATCAACATGAACTAAACACGGAAAAACGCTCTCTGATCAAGCTTACAAGGGCTGCCGAGGATACTGTAACCCCAAGAACGTTTGTGATCATCGGGCGTGCTATCTTGTGTGAATCGTCACTACTCGCGCAGAACCCCTCGGCAGAAAGACACATGACAAACTGAGTGACTGACCCGCTCACAGTCAGCCAACGCAAATGATTCACGAGTCTAGTCCACAGTTGCCGGGTTAGGTATATTTTCTTCGCCTATCAATAAGAAACAGTCTAGTTCCAAACGACGACAGCACCACCTGCGGGTGAACTCGGGAATAAGTTTGGTGAGTGTGCCATACAGCAGCACAGGCTGTTTTGAGACTAACGCTCAAGATAAGATAGCAACGCCACGAGCAATGCTGTCATCACCTCGCGTAAGCGTAGTCCCCGCTGTCCTTTTCGTCCGATTCTTTCTGCCAGTGCTCGAACGTGGCGCCGTCAGACCGTGCTGAAGAAGTAAACGGGACCCATTTCCTGTATTCCCAGGTCCCGGCATTACAGGCGGACCCCCCCGCCGACAGAAACACGTCGTGTTTGTTCTTCTGCAAGAAGCCAAGAATTAATGCAGGAGAAACAACGGCGCCAGGAAAACACTGCACTACGACCCCATCACAATAATAGCGACATCAACAGCAGCTGTGAGAATACCAACACCACCACTGCAGCAAGTACAAACAGCGAGAGCAAGAACCAAGGTATGGCGTGCTCAGTGGAGATCGGGCCCGTTTTTGATGTTTAATGAAGAACGACAACAACAACAACAACAGCGGCGAGGGCAAAACCAAGCGCAACACCTTCTCCAACAACACCACGGGGACGACAACCACGATGAGCACCCCAAGAGCGTTTGGTTGCCACGCCAAGCCGCGTCGTGCGTGTGTGTTTGGCCGTAGCGAGCTTTCGACTCACCACTTGCTGCAGGGCTGTTTGGACGAGGCCGGGTCTTGCTGGCTGCCGTCCTTCACGAGCGATGGGTTTGACACCGGACCCTGGGTGCCGACCGACCCGAAGAGTCATTTCACACACACGTGCGCGTGAAACGAAGATGCTTGTCAACACAAAACAGCAGTAAGCCCAGCATCCAGCAGGTTCCTTTACCTGTTCGTTGTAAAGAATTCCTTATGAAACACATCCTTCGTGCTGGCTATTATCTCGGACGGTTGGCTTTTGTAGGTTTTGTCTTGAACAGTATGTCCGTCTTGTTACAAAGACATTTGAGTGTGCTGATTTGACAACCGTAGCCCCAAGGCCGCGTACGTAGTGCCAAAAAATTGGGCCGGCCTTGAATGCCGGGCACCCAGCCGGCACTAGTTATTACAGAACTTGACGATCCCATCTGTGTCACGCGACGTTACAGGCCTTTTTTACAAAGGGCTATCGGTCACGAGTGCGACCCTACGTACGAGCCACCACGTGAGTGACGTTTCTTGGTGGGCGTCGGAGTAGGCGGCGTTCTTTGTTGATTATGGGAAACAAATGGCAAAGCAAACGTAGCTATGCATGTAATCTCAAAGCTCACGACTTTTTGGATAACCGCCGCTTCCTGCGCCCTGACTGAACACCGGCAAAATATCACCAGAAACTATGTGCAGGTGTTTTGTTTTTCATAAATACAGTATATCCCAACGTATCCATCTCATCTCCTAAGAACAGAGCAGCACACAGCGATATCTCCCCTGTGGGTAACAGTTTTTGAAAACTTGTACTTGACAAAACAAAACCTGGTGGTATGCCGTCCCAAGAGCAAACGCGAAGCAAACGCCGATGAGCGCTCCCCACATAGGNACTTTTTGGATAACCGCCGCTTCCTGCGCCCTGACTGAACACCGGCAAAATATCACCAGAAACTATGTGCAGGTGTTTTGTTTTTCATAAATACAGTATATCCCAACGTATCCATCTCATCTCCTAAGAACAGAGCAGCACACAGCGATATCTCCCCTGTGGGTAACAGTTTTTGAAAACTTGTACTTGACAAAACAAAACCTGGTGGTATGCCGTCCCAAGAGCAAACGCGAAGCAAACGCCGATGAGCGCTCCCCACATAGGAAGGAAGGACAGCGTTGTGTCTGCGACATGTGTGCTGCCACTCCACTTGTACACCGGACGCGGTTCAACAGGCCAATTAGGTGTGAATGCGGCGCGATTCAAACCCGACCTGTGCGCCTTGATTTAACCCCGGCTGCCAACATGCGTGAAAATTTTCAAGTGTCTAGGGTTAGGGTTAGGTATAAGTGGACTCAAAAACCGTCCACAGTACAACATCACGGGCATCAATACATGGGAATAGACCGATACGCTGTGCAGGACAGTAGATATAAAAAATGCGGCGTGATTGAACCCCGTGGGGTTCAAACATACGGTTCGGGTTTCAAGCGGACCCGCACCGAATGCAAAGACAATATCATGAGTAACAGCAGTTCGCTTTAACCTATCCAGGACCCCGCAAGGGTCCAGCACACACTACACTACATACCTCCGGCGGCAGCCCCTCCGATCCTAGCAAGGCGTGAACCTCCCGGCTGACACCCTGAGGCTTGCCGGCCTTCTTGATCGGAGCAGCTCCACCCTTACCCCGCTTGTTTTCTTGGAGGGGGCCCAACGGGCCACCTAACACGGGCGACGCCCTCCCGGATGGCGCTGGTGGACCTCCAAGCCCGAGGATGTCGGCCACATCGCCCATCACTTGGCTAGCTTGAGGCGCTGGTCGCTCCCCTCTCTTGGCTGTGCTTCGTAGCGCTCTCCCCTTTGGCGATCACCCCCGCAACCTTCAGCCTGGCCGAGCAGCCCGAAGCCCCTGCTCCGCTCGGACGTATGCCGAGGAAGTGTGGCCACAAGGAGATAGCTGCACTACGCGGTTGTTGCAAGATCTGGANTCCCCTCTCATGGCTGTGCTTCGTAGCGCCCTCCCCTTTGGCGATCACCCCCGCAACCTTCAGCCTGGCCGAGCAGGCCCCTGCTCCGCTCGGACGTATGCCGAGGAAGTGTGGCCACAAGGAGATAGCTGCACTACGCGGTTGTTGCAAGATCTGGACACACCGCCGCGTGTTGTGAGAGTACTTCCTGCTGTGCCCTCTGCACAACGATCGTGAGTTACACCTCGAGCAGCGGGCGGAGGTCGTAGGTATGCCAGAGCATTCTGCGGAGCCTCTCGCTATTCCGCCGCATGTCCCTAGCCACCGCACAGCCACTTGCATCTAGGCGAGGAGCGAGGAGGGCCACAGGGTAGGCTGGGGGGGATGGCGTCCAAACCAGCGGCGGCTACGACTAAAGCGTCACGCCTGTTCTATCCTTTCAGGGCTCTAGGGGCGGTAACAGATGGACTTCCTTTCGTGCTGAACCGGAGAGGAGACGAATGCTTTCTGGCCGTGTCCATAGATCGAGCTTTTCAGGTGACTGGAGTCCTGCTGACTGCTTTGTAGTCTGGTGTTGGATCAGCTTGGCGGTTTGAACGCGCGCTACAGCAGCTGCTGCTGCTGTTGCTACGCAATTTTGCAGCGAGGCAGAGTGCAGCGTATGGTTTAAATATCTCTGCTTGGGGCACTTTCTTGACAGGACGCGTTCCTATGGCACCTCCTGAGACTACGGACACAGGCCGCACATGTGACAGCAGTAGCAGTAGCGGCATGTGCTTGCGAGCACGCCCAGCGGCTGTACTTTTGACATCCTCGACCCCTGAGTGTGTGAAGGACTCAACTCAGTTGCTTCCGCTGCGCCTTCGGTGTTAGGAACACTGGTGTGCCTAACAAGGGGTCGTGACATTGTTGTACCCTACGGGTGTGTAGATCTTGTAAATAGCTTGATTCTAACAGCTGCACCATGGACGCTGTTGCCCTTGTGGGTCGTTACTCCATCATAGACGAAAGCAGCGTTTGATTCAACAGCGGCTCCTGCGCTATCGACGCCTACCTTAGGTTGCATAAGATAGATACCACCCTACACCCTGTCAAGGCCACGGGGAAGCTACGATAGATCGAATCAGTTATCACACACAGTTGACCGATTGTGGTCTCTGGGTGCTCGACAAGAGCGCTGATCTAAGGGCATCGGGAGTGAGGCCCCCCTTGCCTCGTGCCTTGTAGATCGTCCACCTTTCCCTTTCGGCCTCTGACGAACCTGCTGTACACTTGAATCTGTCCAGCATACGTCCTGGATAAACGGGCCGTGGTGCCATAGATGCCCTTTCCATCCCGCTCTCAAAACCTACCTGGCCCTCAGGCGACTCGTAGCACGTGCTGCCGAGCAGGCCTTACCCAATTATCGCCCGCCGATTTAAACTGCAACTGTCGTCAGCTTTGCTGTGAAGCTTGGTACTCCTGCTACATGCATGCTCCCGAGGCGGTCGTGTCATCTGCCGCTGCCCATTTTCCGTGCGTCGCTGCAAATGAACCGCTGCTGTTCCAATGTTGTGACGCTGTGTTTGTTGTTGTTAGTCTTCATTTTCATCACCGCTCGGGTGTCTGTTCGGTACGGTACCTTCTGACAGCTGTGCCGGTCCAACTGGCGCGGACTGTTCGTTCACTTCGTCTGCGGCAGATCTATGGATATCGATACAACCGGTAATCATCTCTGCTGTGAATCAAGCGCTGCTGTCACTCCTCCTGTACATAATTTGCATTAGAGCTGTCGATGTGGCCCCTCGGCGCTAAATGAGTCAACCGTTGCCGCTACTGCAACTGTACATGTTGCGTTTGCAGCAGATCTGTCGATGTGATGCGCTGAATGAAGCACCCACTGCTGTATCATGCTACTGCAAACTTTGCGTTTGCACTAAATCTATCGATGTCACCATATGCCCCTCGTCGCTAGATGAACCACCCGCTGCTGCAACATGCTGTTGTAAACTTTGCGTTTGTGGCAGATCCATCGATGTCACCTTTTACCCCTCGTCACCAAACGACCAAACCGCTGCTGCACCATGCTGCTGTACACTTTGCGTTTGCGGCAGATCTATCGATGCGACCACCTCAGGGTCGTTCTCGTTTCACCCCCGATGAGCAAGAAAATAACGTGCCTGGAGTCGTGGGGCAACGAGCACACCTTCGTCGGGTGTGGGCGTGAGGTGCTAGGGTGGAGGCGCTTGTCGTGCACGGGGTCCCTCGGTTCACACCCCGGGACGGTAAGAGAGTACAAAAATTGCTGTGGGTTGAATAATCGCAGAGAAAATAAATGAGTGTTTTTGTTTCAACGGAGATAGTACGAAAACTGTGTACATGTTCACAGCGTGGTATATGAGTGTTGTCGTTAAGGAGACAGTAGAGATGGAAAGATTTCACGAACCGGAAGGTAGGCACGAAGAGAACACGAATGTTGTGGAACGCTCTCATGGAGAGGTACAGTATATGCATCCGTGTTTTTGTTTAGACGGGGATAGCATCGATGTAGACCTAACCCTAACCCTAACACGAACGTTGTGGAACGCTCTCATGGAGAGGTATAGTATAGCATCAGTGTTTCTTTAAGACGGGGATAGCATCGATGTAGACCGTACCTCTCCATGAGAGCGTTCCACAACGTTCGTGTTAGGGTTAGGGTTAGGTCTACATCGATGCTATCCCCGTCTTAAAGAAACACTGATGCTATACTATACCTCTCCATGAGAGCGTTCCACAACATTCGTGTTCTCTTCTTTCCTGCCTTCCGGTTTCGTGAAATCGTTCCATCTCTTTCGCCTTGGTCGAAACGACAACACTTGGGCATCTCGATGTGAAAACAAACAATTTCGTGCTCTCTCCTAGTTGTCAGCTTTCACAGAGAGGCACATGTTGCATTGAGGTGGAGGTGCTTGAGATGGCCTGTGCTAAAAGCGTAAGCAATAGGAGAGGTGGGCAGCGTTTAACATGTATGGCGGAAAGAGTAGATGTGGATGCCGTTTAACTAGGCATGGAAGAGAGGAGAGAGAAACAGAGCTGCTATAGTAAAATATCAACAGAGGACACGTAAATAGTAGAGGTGGAAAGCGTTTACAATGTAAGCCGGAAATAGAAGAGGCGGGCACTGTGTAAACTAGACAGAGCTACTATCGAAACAACAGAAGAGAGATACAATGTCAGGGGAAGGTGAGGGGGTGAAAGTGGTAGCAGAGATAGACTTCCAACACACCCGCGGGGAGCCTTGTGCGTTCGACACCAGTGTGTGCGGCGCATGGTATATGAGGTGTCGCGTTTGGCCATAATTTCCTGGCGGCTATATCGTGGTGATGGCGGTGGGGTAAGCTTGTGTTGTAACTTCGGCAGGCGGTGTTCCCCAGAGACNAGACCATTGACCTCGCATCCCTACAAAGCCGGGACGGAGCACGCCGGGTTCTCACCGGACCAGGCTCTCACATCACCAAGCGCGAAGCGCCGTGAGATATTCGGCGAGTCGCATGAAGGGTGCGCTGCATCCTGCTAGGGGTTTTCGGCATCTTGTGCTTACTTCCTTGCGTACGAATGACAGCTGCGTATGACTTAATTTACTTTCTGGTGCTTTCACTTCCAGAGACAGTTGTAAGCACTGTGTACCTGCCTCGAGGGTGCTTGGCCATGTTAACACAACGTGGTGCGATCATCCCCCTTG